GAGTCCGACCCCGGGCAGCTGCTGAAGAAAATGGCCAAGGCTGCAAAGGGGCTTTGGCTGCACGCTGGGCCTGTCTGTGCTGAGCTCAGGTTCACCGCGCAACTGCTCACACATAAAGCTCCGCTTCAGGCCACGGAATAAAAAAAACTACATCCATGATTGAAATCGGAGAGTTTCTTGTCTGTGACAGCTTGCGCTTTGGAGCGGAGCTGCCATAAAACCAATGTCCCCGCTGCACTCGCTGCCCGTGCACGGCCCTTTCCCTTGTGCGCATCAGCGACAGCCCAGGCACCGCCTGGAGCACTGCGATGGCACCATTCATGTAGAAATAAATAAATAAAACCATCATTTGAATTTCTCTTATAAGAGTTGATTTGGGAAAAGAGGTGTATACACAGAGACGTTTGTATTGACCTTACCACTAGTTCAACATTTCCTCTTCTGGAGCACATTTCCTCAGAGATGCAAGCAAGCTCAAGCTATTATTATTTTTAAATGTGTTCTCTTTGGTCAAAGGAATGCTTTTTTGCTCTTCTAGGGAATGGAGCAGTTTGGCCAAGGCAACATGGTCACAAGATGTCTATAGGAGAAATGAAGAATTCAAGGGCAACATTTTCATGAAGTTCAGTTTGGATGCCTTTGTTTCTGGATATCATCTTGTTTTTCAGAGGTAGACACCTCTTTGGAGTTTGTGAGGAATAAGCCACCTTTAATATCTGTTAAAAAGCACTCACATATCAAATCATAAATTCACTTTCATGGTATCTTAGATTCTTTGTTTTGAAAAGAAAGCTTTCATATGTGCATTGGAATCAGGAACATTCATTCGCCACGAGATGACAGTATAGTTCAAGTAAAACCTTTATCCTCAACAATTCTGGAGAAACTCTGAACAGTAACAGTGAATTAAATCAAATCAAATCAATAAATTGAAAATAATATCACTTCTATGCAGTCCTTAAATCTCTACAACAATAACAGCATTGCTTATGGAAAAGGTTGCTGCTAAGAAACCAATGAATATAATACAAAAGACTGTCTATTCTTTAAAAACAAAAACGAGTAGAAGAAAATTAAACAGCTGTCACTGATCGACAGTGAATTATTCATTACAAATAGAGGGTAAATGGTCAAAAATGATTTCAAATACTTCATATAGCAAAGCATATAAATTATCTTTGATGCTCCTGCTTCCTGCAAGCATTCCTCAGTGGGAAAGGAAAAGCTCCTTTATCATTACTGTATGTTATTTCCGCATAGCCAGATGCTTATTTTTCCATGGAAAACAGCAGAAAGAAATGACATTACATGTAGCATGCTGAAATGAATGCCGGGGTTTAAAAAATACAAATCAGTTATTAGAAATCATATGTAAAATGTTCCCTAAGTGTTTGTTCTCGGTACTGAATTAGAAAGAAATATTCAGAAACACTAATCCACGATTCCATGAAAAATACATATGCTCAAGGAAGGTAAGGTCAAGGAAGAAAACACCAGAGAAGCTAGCACGCTCATGAGGTGGAAGGTCAAGGAAGAAAACACCGAGAAGCTAGGGTACTCATGTGCAAACACATAAATAAATAAAAATTCAAATTAAATCTAATGTATAGTTTCTTACTTATTTATTTTATTTCACATCTCATGTCAGTATTCCTAAAAATTTACATTTGTCTTTCCCTGGGACTATGAAAAATTATGGCTTTCACTGGTGAGCCTGTCCACTCTCTAAAAAGTGAAACAAAGCTCACTTTAAAGTAGGAAAACCTGTCACTTGTGCACCATTTTTGCCAGTATTAAATTTAGTAGGCAGATGTGAGACATAAACTATAGGAGAAATAGATTTCTTCATAAAATGAAGAGGACAACTCGAGTTCTAAATGTATAGATACAGATACAGACTATTCCCCAGGACAAGATAAATTCATCTTTCTTCCTCAAAATAGCTTTTTTTTTTTTTTTTTCATTTTATTATTTTCACCAGCTCAGGACTTGCCCTAAGTACAATGCTATGTTAACATAGTGTTATCTTCTGTTTATTCTGGAAGATATTTCTCCCATATCAGGCATTTTTTAGCTTTCCAGTTACTGGAATTGAGGCATTAGGAAATTCCCCTAACATTCAAGTAAACTGTCCATTTTACACTCCTTCACTTTAATAAAAATAGAGGGTTAAATATTGTCCAGACTTATTAGTGTGTACACCAGGATTTAGGAAAGAAGTGGAGCTTTTTGTATCTGATGCTGATACAAACTGTTTCTTTTAAGTTCTACTTGCATTTTCTTTCTAATTCTCTTTTGTAAGAGCAGAATAAGTTCTGCTTACTGATAAATATTTTATAGGTTTTAAACTCAAAATACTTGGAAACTTTCAGAGGGAAAGTGATGAATTTAGAGGAAATATTTTTGTTCAAACATTATTGCATGAAGAATTTTACCCTTCTAACTGGCTACAGCTCTAAATAGTCCTAAAATATTTAATGCACATGTACCTCTGAGAAAAAAAAATCTGAAATATAGAAACATTGACAAGGTTGCTAATGACTGATGTTTGGTGTTCTATTTGTTATGCAAAGAACAATCAGACAGAGGACATCAAACTAAAAAAGACCTAGATCATCAATTCTTAAATCCTGGTATTTCAGATATTTCGTATAAATCTGCTTATGAATTTATTAAACTGTATGAATTAAATCTGTAGTTCAACAATATAGAAGACTACGCACACACACACAAAAAAAAAACCAGCAATAAAAACTTGAAATGTTGGTTTTGTGTGAAAAATCTACATTTTCTTCCTTTGAGAATTGGCTGCTCTGAGCAGACTCCACAATTCTCCACACGGCTTAGTTTCTAATACACCCATTTTTGTGCTACGTAAGGTCTTGTGTCATTGACTTTAAATGCAAATGTAATAATTGTTCCACATTAGTCTACTTGTGACTTTTCCTGTATTATTTAAAGTGTTTAAATGATCAGCCTCGTTCTGTGGTTTGTGAAGGACATATATTTTGTATGTATAAAAACTCACACCTCTGTATTCCTGCATGGGAATATGTGAGTGCAGTAATATCTTACTGACATTGTACCTCTACTGTACACACAGCTAGTAAATGAGCAGTCAGCAAAGCTGGTGCTGAAGCCCTCACCCCTGTGAATTTCTATGTAGGATTTTCAAGCTGAGATGGTCTTAGAGCGGACCTAACCCGGTTCCTAAGCCCCAGTGATAAACACCGCTGAAAATCTCACCCATACTTGCTATCCATTCTTTGCACAGTCGTTTCCAAAAGCAGGTGGTTTAAGCCTCAGCATACAAATGCAATGGCTGCTGCTTCTTGGACGCAGGTGCTAGGAAATTAGAAACTCAAAGTCAGCACCAGACATGTGGAGGGAAGGCACAGTGCAGGTTTAAAGAGAAAGCAGGGAAGAGTGGAAAAGAGCAGAAGTAACTCACCATTTGGAGAGAGATTTCCAGCCCCTAAACTAGTTCATCATGTGAAGTGATCACAAGACCAGAATCTAAGTGGAAAGAATAATAATGATTTGTTTGTCCAGTGATAACCTTTGTGCACATGCAGGCTGAAATACCTATGCTCTAGATAGATTTGAGGTATTAATTATAGACTACGAAATCTCTTTGCATTTTGAATTACAAACCAGTTCATTCCAACTAGAATTCTCATAGCCCGTGTTTGTTTTGTGTAGTTTCTGCAGCATACATATTCCAGTATCTAAGGAAATACTGCTCCATGAGGTCCCTTGAGAGAGAATTATTTGTACTACACTTAGCACAGTCCTATTTTATGTATTCATAGAGACACATCCCTCAAAACGTGACAACTACATTAACAGAAAACAGGCAATTAAAACTTCTTCAAAAAATCAGATGGCATTAGCAAACAGAAACAAATCCTCAAAACACTCCATGTCGATTTCACAGTTTAAAACCATAATGACAAGGTTGTTTTTCCTCCACTCAGTGGTCACTGGATCCTTTGTGTTTGCAGCAATCACGACTCACAGACTGTCTTTAGGGCTGACTGGATAATGCACTTGGACAATAAAGAGGCAAGTCCTGCCCTATAAGCTATTGAGCAACTTAGCATCAATTCTGTAAAATGCTGGAAGTATATAGGAAATAGCATTGATATAACTGTGTTCTGGCTGACCTTACTGTGAAGCAAAATACAGACAATAGCATTTCATGCTGTCTCTAGATCAGGCAGGATATCATTAGCCTAGCAAGTGAAACACTGCGTTAAGACAAGAAAAGCCTTGCCTTATGGCTAAATTTTTATGTCTTCCTCAAACTACTAATCTCTTACTCCCTAAAAGTTTCTTGCTGGATCTAAGGAGGATTAATTTCTGAATAGACAGTAAAAATGCTTAGTTGCTATGATAAAGCATTTTTTATTGCAAAAGGGATAGTAGAGCAGGAATTATTTCCCTTTTCACCAAGAATAAAAAAAAAAAAAAAAAAAAAATCAGCTGTATCTTCCTTTTAAGTCATATTTTCTCCCTTACTTCTGTGTACTCTGGGAAAGTAATTGGAGAGCTCAAGCAGGCAACTCAAGCAGAGTTGCAGGCTCAAGCAACATCATTATATGTGTTGTAGAAGTGCCCATGAAAATAGTCATGGATCGAGACAGTGTTAGGTGCTACGTATTCCCTAACTGCAAAGATGTTGTGTAAATAGATTGTCATGCAACTGTAAATAGACTTATGTATCAAAAACATTCTAAAGTAAGAAATTCTAATGGTATCAACCCTAAGTAGAAAAAGACTTACTGTAACTACTCTGTTAGATGAAACAAGCAGCAGCTATGCATAGTCTTCTTGGTGCAGAGGAGACTGAAGGGCAGAGCCCAGTCATCTGTGTAAAGCACCACAGGAACTGTGGAAATACAGTCCTAGGAGGGATACAAGTGCTGAAATGACAAATATGGAGATTACACAAAAAACACAGTTTTGTCTTCTTGCAAGTCATACTTCTTGCGAGTAGTTTCTTGCAAAACAACTTATTTTAATAAGGTACAGTTACTGTCAGTGGCTTTACTAAATGCGGAGCCCCAACACATACAGTTACTCTTTGCTAGCTGTATTCGGCCTCTTTTGTGTTTATTTGCATGCTTGTCTGTGGGTAAATTATAGCGTATTCTTACCTTGGGAGTTATTATAGCTAATAATGTGCTTGCGCAAACTTAAATTGCTATCTAAGCTATTAAAACAGACAGCTGCAAGATCAAGACATATGTCTGGAAAGATAAAATATTCTCC